GGGCGCCCCCCGGCCGCTGGCCCGCGCCCCTGGGAAGCGGGCTGGACCCCGGGAGGCACTTCCAGGCCGCAGGTCTGCCCGCCGTCGGGACGCGTTCAGTCCTGTTTGGGGGAACCCTCCGGAGGAGCCCCCCGAGCGGCGCCGTCCGAGGCGGCTCCGGCTGGCCCGGCAGCCGGAGCTGGGACCGTGTCCCCCGGGAAGCCTCCTGCCTCTTGGTCCTGAGGCTGCTAGTTGAGCTCGTCCCTAGTATTGGTGGCGCTTTAGGGATGGAGCAGAGTGACCTGTAATGTACCAAGTGTTCCTCGGAAACGCCAGCCACAGGCCAGCCAGGCAGCAGGTGGAAAGCCGGGGTCGCTCCTCGCTCCAGGACATTGGTCCTGGGGAGCCCTGGGACACTCAGGGGACGTGCGGGCAGAGCTGGGGCGCCTGCAGCCTTAGGTCGCAGCAGGAACAGGCCGGCCGGTGCTGGAGCGGCCAAGGGCGGCCGGCCATACTGCCCAAAGCCTGTACCTAACCAGGTGGCTTTGAGCAGCTTACAAACAAGATGCTGCATTAAAACACTTGCGGTTCAAAAAACAAGCACCAGGCTGTCAGCCCTGCGTTCTCGAGGGTGAGTTGTAAGCCCACCGTCTCGCGGTCTCCGGGCTTGGGCCTGGTTTGTATCAGGGAAAAGAAACGGCCCTGCTGTGCACTTCGAAGCGGAGACCAGTCCCGACCACGCCCGCACATACCACCCAGGTGCTCCAGTCTCATGATGCGTTAAGGGCTTGGTCATTCTGGGCAAAGAAACCCAGAAGTCCAAGGGGAGGAGCAGCAGGCCTGCCCAAGGGAGACCTGCCTCCTGGGGAAAGCAAAGAGGGAGGGATGGGTGCCGGGCTCACCCCAGCCTCAGCCTTCTCCGAAAGCTGGGGAAGTTGTAGAAGCAAGTGGGGAAGAGCCCTCGGGACAAGGGGCTCCCTGGGCTGGTGTGGACCTGACCGGATAGCAGCCTGGCAGCTGGGTGGGCGGTCTAGGCCCCACGGACCACCAGGGGTGGGAAGAGGTGTGAATAGAGCTCCTGGTGATGTGACGGGCCTCGGCAGCTGCGACTCACACCCCCTCTTCTTTTCTTTCCTCCAGGAGAGTTTACATGGACTATAACGCAACCACCCCACTGGATCCAGAGGTCATCCGGGCCGTGACCGAGGCCATGCGGGACGCCTGGGGAAATCCCAGCAGCCCTTACCCAGCAGGTAACTCTAGGAGATGTACACAGATGGCAGATATGGGGCAGCGGCTCTCAGAAACTGGACACCACGTGGGAGCGCTCGATTTTGAATAGATTTTCTGTGAACAAGTCTAGCTGTAATTCTTGGTAGTTTTTTTCCGAGAAGTCCACCTTGGTACAGTGGGCCTTGTTGATACCACAGTCTTTAATCTTTAATATATGCTCCTGTCCCCCTTTCTCAGGTGAACAGGATGTCTTATTAAAATAGAGTTATTGGTAATAACTGTACCTACTAAAACCCGCTCACATACCTGTCTCAGTTGATCCTTGCAAAGTAGATCTTTTAAATCATCAGGATCAAATATAATCCTGGCCCATTTCTCATTTATTCTTGTTTTAATGTAGAGTAGTGATTTTCAACCTTTTTTATCTCATGGCACATAAAGTAATTACTAAAATTCTGTGGCAAACCAAAAAATATATTTTTTGCCAATCTGACAAAAAAATGGTATAATTTTGATTGATGTACCAAATAATAATAATAATGATAATGGTTACCTACCTTTTTGCTCCAAAGTGACTTTTTAAAAAAATCAGGTGCCTGTATTTATATAAGGATTTCTCGTACCAAGAACTAACCAACCAGTCTCAACCTTATTGTGCGACGTGACCAGTAAGATGCAGCTCTATTATATGACCTATATATTTATCGTTCAAGACAGGCATTCACAGCAGGCGGCTGTTGTGTTGGCTGTTGTCATATTTTTTTGACAATCTAAGGGGAAAGAGGCCAGTGCCCCTGACTAAGCTGTCAGGTAATGCACATTTTAAAAATTCTTGTGGCACACGGGTTGAAAAATCACTGATGCAGAGCATTAGACTGGAAACTTTGGAAAACAATTTGCTTAAAAGCACTAGTTCTACAGTGGAGTTAGGTAGTGTTTTTCAGGAGGTGAGCTAAATGGCACCTTTCTGGTCTAATGTTTATTGGGGGTAATTAAGATAAACTATCTTGACTGTGGGTTACAATGACGGGAAATGACTTTCCAACAGACCCTGCCCTGGGGTTGGCCGGGTGCAGCTTTGGGGCTGCAGTGGGCTTTCTTCCCCACTTACTGTAAAGAGCCGGGCAGCGTGATAACTGAAGCACTTTCCGATGCAGGCTCTAGTCACTCGGCGGCATATTTGTGGGTTTATCTGGGAGTCGTGTTTTCTGGCTGAACCTTGTCCCTAATCTTTCCTCTATTAAAATCGGACTTTTATGATGTATTAAACTCGGGAATAGGAAGAACAATTAAATGCTAATAAATCCATTCTGTCAACTTTTTAATGAAACGTAAACTGTCTTTTCTAATACAAAAAACAAATTTGCTGAGAAGAATGGCATTGTTGTACCTGTTTGCAAAGCTCTGTAAAGTGAGGCCAAATAGAGGGCGGCTGCCCCCCCCTCCATACCAGGTCTGTCGCAATGTTCACGTCCAGTAGCCTCTGGAGTCGAAAGTTAGGTGAAGATTTTTGACTGTATGGGGGCGGGGGGTGGGGTGCAGCCTGAACCACTGTGTTGTTCAAAGGGTTAACTGTATATCAAGGTTTGTTTGGTTTTTAACTTCTCTGCCAAAGTTTTATTTTGGAAAATGCCTTATCTGTAGAAAAGTTGAAATAAGAGGATCATGAACGCCTGTGTTTCCTTTCCCTGGATTTGCCAATTATTAACACAGACCCATTTTTTTTCTGAGTCTTTTTTTTTCACTTACAGTTGACATACAATATTATATTAGTTTCGGGGCTACAGCACAGTGCTAGACATTTATATAATTTTTCTGAATCGTTTGAAAGTGAGTTGCAGGCAGCCTGAGGCCTCTCTCCTAAATATGCACGTGCCTGCTGAGAACATTGTGTAATGCAGGAGCTGAGCTCCTTGACTTTGCAATTTTGTTTCAAGTGGTATTAGGTCCTTTTTGACAATATAAATTATAAGTAAATGAAAAGAATAACCGAGGGTTGTTTGCAGCAGTTTCCCCTGTGGGCGTGGGCGGAGGACATGGTTTCTTGGCGTCAGTAGCGGGCCTCCTGGCTGCAAGCCCCGCCCCTTCGACAGCTTTATTGCCGTGTAATCAACACACTAAACTGCAGACTTAAAGCCACTGTTTTATAGCTTGTGACACATGTGTATACCCCTGGAGCTGTCACCGTGTTCACATTTCCATCACACACAGACCCCCCCTCCCCAATCTCCTGGGGCCCCTTTGTCACCCCTGTGTGCCTGAGTCTTTCCTGAGTCTCTGATGGAAGTGACTAGGTTCCCTAAACACCATGGTTGGTCACCGCTTATATGAAAGTCTGTGGTAGTCTTACGGAGGGTGTGGCTACTTTGTACATTTATTTTTACCACTTCTTTTTACATTTCTATTTTTTATGTATGTTTTATTATATATGTAATGGTGCCTGCTCAAGTTTTGTGGGATTTTTTGTTTTTGTTTTTGGCAAATAGGACTGAACAGTTAAAAAAAGTTTGGAGACTGCTGGTTTGTAGACCACTTAAGTAAGAATGGTCATTGCAGTTTGCAGGATTTCTACCCTGGAGCCTTCCCTTCTCTGCTCCTGAGTTTGGTTCCCGACTTCCTGCGAGCCAGTGAACCTGGGTGACAGCTGGGCTGCGGGGCCCTGTCTGAAAGCAGGTGTCCCCTGAGGCGAGGCCTCCCAGCTGCCTGGGGCTACAGTGTGAGGTAGTGCATTGGACTTCCTGCTGAGGAGTCGAGAGTTCTAGTGTCGCTAATGTTGATTTTGCAGCGGGATCTTAAGCCAATTGTTCTACCCTTTTGTTCTGTCTCGATGGGCGGGAGACGAGGCCGATGGCGCAGCCACCCCTCTCCAGCCTCCACGAGAAGAAAAGCCTGTCTTGGGGATTTGGGGTCCCCAGGCTTCCTGCCGTGTTTGTCTCCGGCCCTCACTGGGTTCCTGGGATCTCAGTCCTAGTCCCTGGTCCGCTGACACCTCGCTGCTGCCCTGTGCCAGGTATTTCTAGGAGGCAGCAGGTCATCGCGCCCACCCTGGTGAGACAAGCTTCGCTTTAGATTTTCCCCTCTCAGATCCTCACTCCTTCTGGCTGCTTATTTAAATTTTTTTTTCCCCCAAATATATCTTTATTGATTTCAGAGAGAGGAAAAGAGAGGGAGAGAGAGAGAGACAGAAACATCAATGATGAGAGAGTCATTGATCGAGCCCGCAACTCGGGCATGTGCCCTGACCGGGAATCGAACCCCAATCGCCTGGATCCCAGGTCGACGCTCAACCGCTGAGCCATGCCCGGCCGGGCTGGCTGCTTATTCTTTAAACGTCTCGATTACACTTGGTGAAGCAACGTTAATGAATGTCCGTGTTGGTCTCTCAGGTCAGAAGGCCAAGGACATCATCGGTGCAGCTCGGGAAAGCCTGGCCAAGATGGTAGGGGGGTCGACTCAGGACATCGTGTTCACGTCTGGGGGCACCGAGGTAAGGTTTCCAAAGTCTCACCCCCCCAGCTGTACGTTTTAACAAGAGACAGAAGGTGGCTCCTTCTCAGTGATTTTTTTTCAGAGAGAGAATAAAGTTTGATCTTGATGTTTTATAAATTAAGCTTGATATAATTAACGAGTAAGTAACTCCAGGTGCCTGACAGGACGTTCGTAACGTAACATCCTGTGTGAATGAACGTGCTCCGCTCGCTGTCTCAGTAAAGAGTGTGTCCCCTTCCTTCACCCTGGAATCAGCCCTCTGACTCCCTGCTGCGCACTTTCCCGTATTGAGAGTGTGAGGTCTGACCCAGTCTTCTTCTCTTTAAACTGATGGAAGATACTCAACAGTGTGATGGTGTCAAGGCCACTGCTCAGTTAGTGATACTCAGCATCTCTTCTGTTCCAAAGGGAAGACTCAGTGGCCATCAGTTGGAGAGTGGGGGTGACTGTCCACTCAGAAACCTGAAGGAATCTGCAGCTGCCTCGTTGAGTTCATAAGACAATTTAGCCAAGTGATGACATAGAAAAATCAATTGTATTTTTATGTACCAGCAACAGGACGGGTGTTTACCAGAGCACCAGATCATGTCAAATATTTAGGAAATAAATCTAGTGAAAAATACTGTGCGAGACACCCCCCCACCAGGAAAGTAATAGAATGGTACCGAGAGCCCTCAGGCAAGGTCTGAACAAATGGAGCGAAATACCATACTCAGAGCGAAAGACTCAGCACTAAACACATTGGCTCCTTCCAAGTTGCTCTGTGGACTTAATGCAGCCTCAGTCGCAATTCTGACACATTTTCCGTGGAATCTCACAAACTAATTCATGTGGATAAAAACAGGCTTCCTGGAGATTAGGAACCCAGGGAAACGACGGCTCTGCCCTTAGGAAACAGCTGACTACAGTGGTGGTCTCAGGGCAGCTGGTCTCGGGGCAGGTGGACTCAGAGCAGGTGATCTCGGGGCAGGTGGTCTCAGGGCAGGTGGTCTCGGGGCAGGTGGTCTCGGGGCAGCTGGTCTCAGGGCACCTGGACTCAGGGCAGCTCGACTCAGGGCAGGTGTTCTCAGCAAGGGTTGACGACAGACCAGACCTGGCCCTGCATGTGCAGGTACTCGCCATGTGACTGGGTGGCCACCCGTCCTGCTCTTCTCAGGACAGTCCGAGGATACGCCTGTTGTCCCGGAGTGATTTTAATGGCGCCTCCTATTCGTGAATGTTTCTGGCTTGGATGGCAGAGTTTGTGATCGTCACACGTGGCTGAGAGAGCCGAGCTGCAGGAAGAATGATCCCTAGTGACTGGTGCTGGACAACTGTGTGTTCACAGAAAGAAGAGCACTAACCACAGCGGCAAAGATCAGTAAATTCTTCCACCAGCACAAAGCAAACTTTGGTCCATCAGAGAACTAGGTGAGGGAGCTAAAGGGGAAACTAGACACGGGGCAAGGTGTTTGCAACACAAGAGTGACGGCATAGCTTCTGGAACCCACAGGCAGTTAGCCCAGCAGAAGGACGCAGGGGACTTGCAGGCACACCTCACAGTGGGGAGGCCGGGCGGTTCCCACGTGAGAAGATCTCAGCCCCCCAGGAGCCAGAGTCCACGAGGAAACACCGGAGCGCCTGTGCCCATCAGCAGCCACCTGCCCTGGAGGTGGCAGGTGGGAGGGGCCTGGACGTCTCCCTCTCGGCACAGTCTGTGGGGTCATCTTCACACTGCCATCCACGGTGACCTGTGCTGTGCAGGCCCAGACCCCTGAGATGGGACTGCAGGGCACCCCAGCCATGCTGAGCCCAGGATGCCCTCTTTTCTGCAGAGTTGCTGTGTGGGCAGCTGTGTTTCTGTGAGAATGTGACCTGGGACCTCGAAGTAAGTGCCACCCTGTGGGGAAGCACTTGTGAGATGCTCTCTGTAGTGTCAGCTGCCTTCTTAGGTTCAGCGAGTGTGTCGATCCTTTGGTATCCGCCACACAGCGCCCCCACAGCTCCCCCTCGGTGTGCTTGCATCTGCTCGCTGTTCCATTGAGCAGTGTTGCGTAATTTATTTAACAAGTCCCATCATCAATACACATCAAAGGCCTTCCCGAGGTTCTGTTGCAAACAGCACTATAGTAAATAATCTTCACTTCCGTCATTTGGCTTCTGTGCAGGTGCAGCTGTAGGACCAAGTCCTGGAAATAGACTGGCTGGGCCAGAGTTTCTGATAGAGATGCCCCAGGGCCCTGAACAGAAGGGTGGGTTTCCACCAGCAGTGGGCCTGGGCAAAATTTCCCTTTTTGACAGATGTATAAAGTTTAAACATGCCTAAGTTGCTTATGCATCCATAATTATGCAAAACAGGCATAACTGACCAGGAATGAGCTCTGAAGGTCTTGAAAGTTTAAAACCCCCAAATATTTGCTTGTGGGCCCTTCAAAGGGTGCAGCTCAGGGATTGACTGTTTGCTGTGTCCCTGCAGGCCAACAATTTGGTGATCCACTCGGTGGTGAGGCATTTCCACAAAAGCGATGCCTCAAAGGGGGGCACGGCCAAGCATCCCAGCCCAGCAGAGGGGGCCAAGCCCCACATCGTCACCTGCACCGTGGAGCATGACTCCATCCGTCTGCCCCTGGAGCACATGGTGGGGGAGCAAGTGGCCGGTGAGTGCCCAGCCTGGCTGGACTGCCTCGGGGACAGCTCTGCTGACCCTGAGGGACTGCTTCGGTGGCGAGCGGCCCCAGAGACTCAGTGAGTCGTCACCTTCCCGCACCCGGGCTTCCTGGCTGTCCTCAGGTGCAGGGGATACAGCCATCCCTCTAGGCTGCCACCTGGGCGTCAGGAAAAAGTGACAATCAGGAGTCGGCCGGTCATTGGTGTTCCCGAGTGATATCTCAGACCCTTGCACACAATGAATATTTTAAAAAGCATGTCTATGAAACACTAAACGTGCTTTTCACTGTTTGACTTTAATAACTAAACCTTGGCTTCTTCTCCTTCTGATATGAGAAGATCAAATAGGCATCACCTTCCGGGGTAAGAACTAGGCGCTCTCAGGGAGGCTGGGGGAGGGTGGCCCGGCCTCCCCGCGGGCAGTGCCAGGCAGTCCGAGGGATGAGTCGGGCTTGGCCTGCAGTGACGGTGGCCCTGTTGATGTCACACAGAAAAGACTGGTCCTTCCACTTTTCCTGTGATGGGAGGTCTTGAGACGGGTGGAAAACGATGTCTTTTGAGAACTAAGAGCCTTTTTTCCCCAAGACAGCCAAGGTTAAGTCTCCTTTACGTAAGAAATTATTTCTTCTTGGTGTCAGCTTTCCTGTTGAATCCGCCTGGAAACGGGGGGCTGATCAGGGAAAGCAGTTCTGTCCTAAAGACAAAGGGCTGTGACAGAACAAACTGCTGGGTCGACCAGGAGGCCTTTGTGTTGGTTTTCCTGTGATGGTTGGAACGGTGCCCTCTTCCTGGTCCTACCTGAAGGCACCCGTTTAATTACGGAAAGGAAACAGACAGAAGCCAGGTCTCGCTTTCTCATCAAGTTGTTCCTTGTAGCCCTGCTGCCTTTTTCTCCGTCTCTCACAGGGAAGGGCAACTTAGTATATACATTGTTATTAGTTACTGTTGCATTTAACCTCTTGTTTAAAATTATACAAATTGTTACTAAGTACAAATGTGACTTGACGGAAACAATTTAAGCATAATAGGAAGGTGTAAAGTACAATGTATTTTATTTTATTTATTTATTTATTTTTTAAATATATCTTTATTGATTTCAGAGAGAGGAAAGGAGAGGGAGAGAGCTAGAAACATCAATGATGAGAGAGTCACTGATCGGCTGTAGCCCGCAACCCAGGCATGTGCCCCGACCGGGAATCTAACCCGGATCACCTGGATCCTAGGTCGACGCTCAACCGCTGAGCCACACCCGGCCGGGCATGTAAAGTACAATGTAAAGTGGCCCCCAGTCCTGTCCACTCAAGCTGACCTGGAGTGTTTCTTGTGGTTAGCATTTCGTTTTAATTACTTCCAATTTAATAGTCACTTACAAACATAACCTCCATTTCAGCCCTATGGAGAAGATGACATTCACACACCATACAGGTCACCCTTTAAACTATGCAATTCGATGGTTTTTAGTGTCCTCACAGAGTTGTGTGACCATCAGCATAGCCGAAACCTCGTATCTGTCAGCTCTCCTCCATTCCCCTCAGCCCCAGGCACCACTAACCTGCCTTCCGTCTCTAGCAGCCTCCCTGACCTGGACTGTCACACAGGTGGAATTGTGTAATATGTGGTCCTCTGTGCCTGGCTTCTCTCAGCATGATGTTTTCAGGCTCATCCGTGTGGTAGCACGTGCCAGCACTTAATCCCTTTCCACGGATGAATAAGTCTCATTCTGTGTGAATCACGTTCGCGTTTCATTCATCTGTTCGTCAGTTGATGAACATTTGGCACTGTGATGATGACATCATGAGCATTTGTCTGTAAGCCCCGGGGCCTACCCCTCCTGTCTTGGGCATAGGTGCCCCCACTTGCTGGATGCAAGCGGGATGCCCGGACGCAGGGCCAGTCCTCTGCCTGCCTGAGCCGCGGGCCCGCCCTGCCCTCTGCGCTATGCGCCCTGAACCCGGGCTCACTGGGCTCCGAGCTCGTCCATCCTCTTGCGGCCCATCTGATGGTGGCCCTTCTGTCTTCTTTCTCGGGCTCCTCCACATCCCTTGCCCTCAGAGGTCACCTTCGTCCCCGTGTCCAAGGTGAGCGGGCAAGCAGAGGCTGACGACATCCTGGCAGCCATCCGCCCGGCCACCTGCCTCGTGACCGTCATGCTGGCCAACAACGAGACGGGCGTTGTCATGGTGAGTCGCCTTTTCCTTTTCCTGAGACCCGGCGGGAGGGCAGCCCTGCTGGTCCGTCCGCCTCCCCACGGGGCCTCTCCTCTCCCTCGCTCTCCTGTTCTCTAGCGTCACTGGCTGTCCTCGTGAATGTCTCCTTGTTTCATCCAGTTTCCGTCAGATCCAAGCCACGCGCTCAGCCCCTTATTTCCCTCCTCAGCCCATCCCTGAGATCAGCCGGCGAGTGAGAGCCCTGAACCAGGAGAGGGCGGCCTCGGGGCTGCCTGCCGTCCTCCTGCACACGGACGCCGCGCAGGCCCTGGGGAAGAGGCGCGTGGATGTGGAGGACCTGGGCGTGGACTTCCTGACGATCGTGGGGCACAAGGTGCACAGCAGGGCTCCCTGCCCTCCTGGGGGAGGCAACTGCTGCGTGGCCTTGAGGTTCACCTTTGAGCAGAGCCCGCAGCACAGTTTGCAGTCACCTATCCTCCAGGGCACCTGAGTGCCACTGAGAGCTGGGCCCTGGGACGCTGTTACGGCAGCTCACTGCCCTCAGGAGCTCACAGAGGGGGGACCAGTGGTAGCCAGGATGTTATGTGACGAGCGCCATGGCTGGGATAATAGGCACCCAACCCTTCCAGGGCAGGAGGGGGACAGGCAGGCAAGGCAGTGGGCGGGCATCGGGGTTGCAGGTGGGACAGCCAGGTGGCACCTGTTCTCCGCAGCAGAGAGGGTGTCAGCAGCCCCCATAGCAGCCCACTCAGCCCTCCCTCGAGGATGAGAGATGCAAACTTCAAGAAAGTGTCTCTTTCTCTCCTGTGGTTTAAAGTGAGGCTTCTGATGTTATAAAGGTTTAGTTCAGCAACACGGCTTTGAGGTGGAATAAAGGGAACCGCTCACTGTGGAGACCCTGGGGAAGCTGTCGCTATCCCTCTGGTGGTGACTGGGGCCTGGTGTCTCCAGTGCTCTGCTCTGAGGCACAGCACTTGGCTGGGCTTCAGGGGGTGGGCTCTGGCCTGGCATCCTGGCACCTACAGTTCTTTTGTAATTTCTATGTGAAACACACCCAGAGGAAGCCTTCAGTGATCTCCAATTCCAGCCCCTGTCCTTTTACAAAGCTGACCACGTATGCGGGGGGTTCTGCCACCCCACTGCCAGTACTGGAGTCCACCCTGACCCACCTCCGCCTCCCAGAGCTTCTTTGACTCTGGTGTGTTGGGAGTGGCGGGGGGGG